CCTTGGCAGTCTCAGCTGGCGTTCTGGGAGAGGGGGCCCGTCTCGGGGGGTGGGGTGGGCCCTGGGGGCCCAGCCCTGGGAGTCCCATGTGAGCAGCCACACTCCTTCCCCCAGCCTTTGATTTAGATGGGTGCTCAGCCCGCCCCCATCTTGACCAGCCCTCCTGAAGCCCCCTCCTGCTCTTGCCCTGCAGACATGGAGGTGAAGCAGCTGGACAAGAGGGCCTCTGGCCAGAGCTTTGAGGTCATCCTCAAGTCCCCTTCTGACCTGTCCCCAGAGAGCCCTGTGCTCTCCTCCCCCCCCAAGAGGAAGGACACCTCCCTGGAGGAGCTGCAGAAGCGGCTGGAGGCAGCTGAGGAGCGGAGGAAGGTAAGGAGTCTCCTCTTCAGGTCCTGATGAAGATGGTCAAGAGGTCTTACTGGCCACAGACAGCATCCCAAGGTGTAGGGTACTCCAAGCACCTGCTTGATTGTGGGCCTGTAGCAGGGAGGGTCTTGTGTTCCCCAGACTGCCTCTTGAGCAATCAGAATGAGGCAGAGAAAAGGAAGGATTCCTCAATGGCAGTCAGCTGGAGGGAGACAGGAACCAGACACTGTTGGTGGGGTAGGGGGGTGCCCTTGGCCATGCTGGTAGAGGTGGGAGGGTCAGGTGTTAACCCCAGGAGGGGCCTTGGGAGAGGAGGCTGGGCTGGTATCCTCCTGGGCAGGGGAGGCCAAAGGAAAGCCTTCTCATGCTGGGGGCTGTGAGTCAGACCTGCTGGGCATTTAGGGGGCTCCTGGGACAGGCGGGGCCCCCTCCCCACCGATTCTCCTCACATCAGCCCCTCTAAGGCTGAAACACATGTGGAAGAGTGCGTGCTTTCAGGAGTGCTGTCCTGGTGCCCAAGCCCACTGGGCAGGGGCAGTGGCTCTTATCTCCCTTACAGCAGGTCTGGTGAGACCTGGGGACCCAGGCTTCTCAGGGTTAACTAGTGATGACTGGCACGTGGGTGGGAGCCCAGCAGCCTTCTGAAGGAGGCTGAGGGAGGCTAATTACCTCTGGGAGCCTCGAGTCTCCTCCAGGGACCACCAGCAGGGCTGGACTGTCTGGCGCCAGCAGCCCCACGTTCCATGCTCCAACTCGTCCCTTCCCAGCAACCCTGGGGACCCCTCCCTTGCCCCCAGGACCCTAGGGAGCTCAGAACCCGGTGTATATTAAGCACCTACTTTGTGCTCAGCGAGCAGATGTCTGAGGAAGAGACAGGGAAGGCTCAGTGGCTGCCTACGAGTTTAGTTTCCTCCGCTCCTCCAACCTTTCCCGAGGGGCGCCCGGGGTCTGGAAGAGGCAGCCGAGCGTACAGAGCGTGGGCGCCCTGAGCCCAGCGGGGAGAGGGCAGCTCTGCGGCTCTGGACGGAC